ACACGCTCCGCGGACGATGCGCAGGCGCGCTCCGCCGCCCAACACGGCGCGCCCCGATTGGCCCCGCGGCTGCCCGGCAACGGCGGCGGCGGCGACCGGGCTGTGGGGCCGTACCGGGGCCGTACCGGGGCCATACCGGGGCCATACCGGGGCCATGTCGTCGCGAACCCTGCCGCTGCTGTTCCTGAACCTGGGCGGGGAGATGCTTTACATCCTGGACCAGCGGCTGCGCGCCCAGAGCATCCCCGGAGAGAAGGCGCGCAAAGGTGAGCGGCGAGCGGGAGCTGTTACGGGTCCCTCCGCTCCCGGTGTCCCGGTGCCAGCGGAGTGTTGGGGTGGCTGTGGTGCCCCCGAGCAGGGCTCTGCCCCCGTTCCCATTCCCCCGGTAACAGCTCAGGCTGCTCCTCCCGGGATACAGCCCCGGGACACGCAGCGCTGGCACCGGAGCATCCTGCGAGCTAACGGGACAGTCAGTGCCGCTCCGGGACAGGAGTTTGTTCGCCCTGATTTAAGGGCTCCATCGCAGTAATTACCGCAGKAATTAGCTCTCAGTGTTTTCTGGTCTCCGGCTAGAAGCGCAGCCCGCCGGGACGATCAGCTCTGTGGAGTTTTGTGGTAAGAACAGCCCGGAGGTGTTGCTGGGGCTGGTTTGGGAGGTTCTCACAAAACTGGAGTCCGTGTCGGTGTTTCTGTGCTCAATTGTGGAGTTAAAGCTTCAGGAATGCATTTTTGSATTCAAAATAACTCAGGATTTGGTTGTGTCAGCGCAGGTCCTGGGCTGTTTGGGCAGACCAGGTTGAGTTTACAGAAACAAATTTGTAAATCCTGTGCAGACACAGCACATGCAATTGTGTGAAATTCAAGTACCAATCCGGCTCCTGAAACCCTTGTCTGGTTTTTACACAATCGCATTTGGGCAAAATACTTGTACAAGWAGAGCCTTGTGCCTTTACATGAGGCACAAAACTCCAGCTCACAGCCCAGCACCTCTGTATTTACCACTTGAAATTACCACAGCCTCGCTTTACAAATCCTTGCAACTCTTTGTCTTGGGATGGGGAATGTGCCTCGGGAAGCTCCAGCATGCTTTAATAAAAAAAAAAATTTGATATAAGCTTGGTATTGTAATCCCTTCTGCCTGCCCTTTATGAAGTTCTAAACAATGAGGGGTACACTGTGTAATTATTGCATTGTTTGTGAGGGGGCAATTTGTAATTATTCATGTGTGTCCTGAGAGAATRATCTGCTGTTCATACAGGGACAAGTTTAGGATTTTAACTGAATTAAATTTCAGTGGAGTATCTCAGCAGGAGAATTGGACTGTTTTTGTATTTCCACACCTAGATTTTCTTTTCTTCCAAAAAATTGTGTGTTAATTCCACCGAGATGTGGCTCATCCACACTGGGGTGTTTGTTAATGCTTAAAGCTGTTCACTCAAATATTGGTTACATGTAAGTGCAAAWTACAGCTGAAAAGTACCCAAGCTCAGTGCAAAGGGTAAAATTGGATATGCACTGAAGCAGCAGGATTTTATCCAAGGGGAGGGTGAGGTTCTCATTCAGTGCTGAATGCTGATGAGAAGAGACAAAATCCATTAGTTAGCAGTTTTTTTCTTCTTTTTTTCTGCCTTTTTTTTTTTTTTTCAGTTTGTTTCTTTTCTTCTCCTTGCAACTCTTGTTCTTACATCTTGAACTGCTGTTTTGTTTTATATGCTTCGTGTAGATGAATGGACAGATGTGGACAGGAAACGAGGTACAGTAACTGCTGGCTGCATGCACCAGTCCAACCCCACGTGCCCACCTGAGGCTGTTCCTGCAGCCCTCAGTCTGTGTCACAAATGAACAGTGATGCTCACCTGGCCCTTAAATGCRCTTCTGACYGTAAATCAGTGAAAAAACAGACCAYATMTCAAAATYGTATGGCCTCAAAAAATCAGCTGTTAATTTAACCAAGGCTATAAATGGATCAAAACTTTTTATCCCGGCGGTCTTGCCTGCAAAAATGATATTTGTGTTTCTCTGCTGTTGTTTTAATGCAAGCATGTGATGTGTGAGCATTGTGCAGGTCGTTTTTCTGCTTAAATGCAGGAATATTGGGTATGCTCCGTTTTTTTTAAGGTTTTATCCAATTCTCTGCTCAGGGTTTGGACAGGTGRACTCCAGGGATGATCGAAGGTGTTCCTATCCCAGCTGCTTTACTCACCTGTGCTGGTGGTCACACCTGGCAGAGTGATCCCAAAAGAGCAGTGGCTGCACTTCAGCCAAGTTTATCCTGACTGGAATGTTCCTGAGGGTGGGATTGAGCCCTTGGGTGTTGCAGGGAGCAGCCAAGGGGTGAACACATTTCCCTCTGGAATCTGCCCTGGGACAGGAGCCTCCTGCAAGGACTGTGCTGAGGAGTGAGGAAATAAATCTGTTGAATCTCAGGTTTTTGCTGGTTGAGCATGAGCAAAACTTCCTTCTGAGCAGTCCTTTTTAAAGAGAAATCRGGGTTATAATTCATGCTTTGCAAAATAAAAATAATTGGTAGGTTTTAATATTTACTGAAGGTAAACACACTGATGTCCTGGAGTTTGCCCCAGCTTTTTTTGCTACATTTACATCCTGTTTCCAGGCACAAGCTTTTCCCATCCTTTAACATCTCTGAAGTGTRGGAACAGATTCCATCCCATCCAAAACCACGAGGAGCTGCCCAGAGCTGTGACATCGTGAGACAGGGGCAAGGTTCCAGGCTGCCCCATCAGTTCTCCTGAGAGAGGGAACATTTTGCCTGTGCTCAGTGATCTCAGGAGAGTTCTKGAGTCACCACCCGGGGCTGTCACTGATGGGGCTGTGATGAGATTCCCTGAGGACCCACAAACCTGTGGCATGTGTGCTGTGGCTGTCCCAAACTCAGAATGTTCATTCTGCTGCCCCAGATATTCTCAGGAAAGCACCAGCATACCCCAGACATAGCTCCAGTGCCATGTCATGCATCCCAGCCATGTGAGTGACACGTGCTGTCCCCAGTGACTTGGCACGGAGAGGCCAAATCCACCAGTACCCCCAGTTTCAGTCCTGCCCATCACACTGGCTGTACTGGTTTCCCTCCTCTCACCCCAGTTGCTGATCCCTCTCTTTGCTCAGTTGCTTTTTCTGTGTCACTTGCACCATGTCCCCAGGCCAATGTCCCTGTGTCACCTGCCACTTTGTCACCCAGGGCTTCCCTGAGACCTTTGCTGGGTCTTTATTAAGCATGTGAGAGATTTATTATCATTTTGTCCTTTACTGTGATTTTTTTAATGTCTTTCTCAGTTCTTTTTATAGCCCACACAAGAGGTTTTAATTTCAGAAGATAATTTATGTCTGTGGTTCACACAGACCTTCAATTCTGTTGAAAAATCACTGTCCTGGGAGGTGTCTGTCTCCTGTTGTTTGGGTTTGGATTGTGACTCTCTTAAGACAGCAGAATCCTTTGTGTGGCAGCACACACAAGCAGCTTTAAAATATTTTCCTTAATAGCACTACAAAGCAGAAATTCCTATTTTTGTCATAATTGATTCCTGCAAAATTAACTAGATACTAATATTGACTAATACCAATATATGTGATTTTCTCCAGTAAAAATTAGGCAATTTCTGCCTCACATTGCAAATAGGGATTGCTTTATGGCTAGTTTATTTGAAAGGAGGGATTTTTTTTTYCCCTGTTTGTGATTAGGTGTATTTGTAATCCAGGCTGCTCAGGAGCTGAGATCTGTCTGTGGTTTTGGGGTGTTTAAACCAGGCCTAAGGAGCCCCGTCAGGTGCAGCACAGGGGCTGCTGAGCTGTGTGTGAGCAGTGCAGGAGGAACCTGTAACCAGCAGGTTTGGGGAAGGGAGAGAATCACCTCAACTCCTATCTGTATCTTCACTTTTTCTCCTTTTCCTCTTTTTTTTTTATTATTTATCCTGAGACTTTTCTAATCCACAAGAATTTTCTGAGTTTATTATGAGCATTATTATTATGATCTTCATAACAGTCCTGTGCTTAGGAAAACCCACACTTGTAATCTGTGACCTGACATATTCATTTATCCTTTTTTTTTTGATAGAGAAATAAATATTTATTGATGATACCTCTGTAGAGTGTGTCAGGGAAATAATAAAAGTAGAGATCCAGCACAAAAGCTCAGATGCTGCATCTGCTTGAACCACTGCACAATGTTTTCCATCTTGTTTGCATTAAAAGCTCCATAAGCAGAGCACAGCCCTCACGATCAGCACTCCTGAGCTGTTAGAATTCCTCAGTAAATCACATAACAGTTCCATGGCTAAATGTACACCAAAAAAACCTGAACCACACATAAGGAAGTTTGGAGTTCTGCATTTGAGCTGCTCTAGGGCCTGCAGATGTTGCAGTTTGGCTTGATAGAGATCCCAGGGATAKAAATGCTTTATTAAATACCTGCCAGTGTTAATCCCTTTGGAACAGAGATTACAGAGAGCCCTGCAGGAGCTTCTGTTGAGAAGTTAAAAAATAGACTGGCAGTGTCAGAGGGTGTCAAGGAACAGGCACAGCCAGGTAGCTGCAATCTGCAAAGATCTACCACAAAGCAAAACCRTCTCCTTAGGGAGCAGAACTGGAGCTTTTTTAGATAATGACACATCAGAGCAGCCTATAAACAACGTTATTTAAAAGTGAAAAGTGCCAACCACAGCTGTAAAACCAGGGCAACAAAGCCAGCCTTATTCCCACTGGGAAGCAGGGCCTGCTCCCTTCGGCTTGATGCCTAAAACAAGGCTCACCTGAAACAGAGGCCCGACAAAATTAAGAGGATAAAAGCAGACAAATTTAATCCAGGCCTGCTGGTACATTCAGGGCAGACAAAGCCTCCTCCTGAGGCTACACCCAAAATGGACCCCGAGTCACGAGATCTTCACCTTTTATCAGTTCTGCCTTATTAAGATATTGGGCATCAATTCTCCAATGACACCTTCAAGTGATGGTGTCACCCACCCCAAGCTGCTCCCCCCAATTCTCTGTTGTTTCCATATTTTGGGGCTCTGAGGCAGCGAGGTGTCCTTGGATTTCAGGCTCAGAGAGGAATTGTTTTGTCTAAAGATGGGACAACAGGAGCTTTAGTGCTGTCCAAGAATACAAATACATGAAAATATAGAAACTAAAAATCCTAAGGCATCAAGGTCAGGTAGCATTTGTGCCCCGGGGGACATGAGCTGGCCTAGCCCAGGTGGGACTGAGGAAATGTTGGATCTGGAGGTGCTGTTCCCCCTCTCTGTTGYGCTCTGTCCCCGCTCTGCACAGGTGACCCAGGTGAGCCTTGCAGCTGGGATGGACCAGGACACACTGTCCCAGGGCAAACCACAGAGCCTCTTTGTCTTTGCAGTTATGAACGACATCATTGCCACCATGTTCAACAAAAAGTTCATGGAGGAGCTGTTCAAACCCCAGGATCTCTACTCCAAGAAAGCTCTGCGCACCGTGTACGACCGGCTGGCTCACGCCTCCATCATGAGACTCAACCAGGCCAGCATGGACAAGGTAACACAGATCTGCACTTCCCTGCTGTCCTTCATCACTTTCTGTTGCAATAATTAATCTGTGGGTTTAACATTTTGAAGGTTTCCTTGTATAAAAATGTTTTTTTTTTCTTGTAAAAATGGTTTTTTCGTTGTAAAAAATGGTTCTTGGCCAAGCAAATCCATGGTGGTATCAGTTTCCTCAGAACTGAGTATTTTTGCTTGAATAGCTAAATCCTTGATTTTAACAAGTTCACTGAGCATTCCTTGAGTTTATCAGATGTTTTCATAAATATTAAAAATACACACATCTGTGGGTGTGGGTAATATCTGTATTTCTGTACCCACAGCCACAGTCTGGCAACTGCAGGTGTTGGAATTATTGCCTGCAAAAAGTGTATCCACAGCCAAGTTAGAAAAAAATTGTAGGAATGGGATTACCAGAGAACCCTTCACCTTGGGTGTCAGGGCTGCTGAAATTCATAGAATCATTGAGGTTGGAAAAGCTCTCCAAGAGAGTCAAGTCCAACCTGTGCCTGGTGCTCACCTTGTCCCCAACCCAGAGCTCTGAGTGCCACATCCAGTCATTCCTTGGGCACTTCCAGAGATGGGGATTCCACCACCTCCCTGGGGAAGCTCTTCCAATGTTTAATTAAATCTTCCATGGAGAAATTCCTCCTGATGTCCACCCTGCCCCTGCCCTGGCCCAGCCTGAGGCCGTTCCCTCTCCTCCTGTCCCTGTTCCCTGGAGCAGACCCCAAATCCCCCCAGCTGTCCCTTCCTGTCAGGGAGTTGTGCAGAGCCACAAGGTCCCCYCWGARCCTCCTTTGCTCCAGGCTGAGCCCCTTTCCCASCTCCCYCAGCTGCTCCTGGAGCTCCAGSCCCTTCYCCAGCTCCAYTCTCTRGACACACCCCAGCCCCTTGATGTCTCTCTTGCACTGAGGGATCCAGAACTGGACCCAGCACTCGAGCTGTGACCTCACCTGTGGGGGAAAAGGGCCCCACAAGCCCTGATTCTGAAACCCAGACAATTATTGTGTACGACTGARGCCTGGGAAAAGAAAGGGATGTTAACAGCCTACATGGAGGAAGAATGCTGCATCCTTGAGAAAAGCAGATTAGAATGCAGAATTKATAAYRCAGGTGGCTGRAAATTATAAGCRTTACTAATACTGTAGCTTTTGCAAACTCACCAATTATATTCTGATTACTAATTAAACAACTGTCTCTTGACCAATGTATGTTTGACACAAAYGTATACTCTAGTTGCWMAAGYAGATAAAAGAAGCTTATCCCATAATAAAGTCCTTCTTTCTTTCTGTTTTTTCACCCACTTTTTGTGTGTTTTGTATCTATTCTTTTCTGTCRCTGTTTGACCASCAGCRACACTCACCTGAGCATTGGTGACRTTGGAGACCCAKCAGGAGGKCTGGGGATGGGACTGCAGAGGTCTTGTTTTTTTAGGAAACAARGCTGAAATGGTTCCTTGATGCTGGCCTGAATCCCTGTCCATCCCCAGGAGGTTTCCTGTGTGACAGAACCAACGTTCCTGTGCTCCTTTGCAGCTCTACGACCTCATGACTATGGCCTTCAAATATCAAGTGCTGCTGTGCCCTCGGCCCAGGGACATTCTGCTGGTCACRTTCAACCACCTGGATGCCATCAAGGATTTCATCTCCAACTCCCCTGCCATTCTGAATCAGGTGGATGAGACCTTCCGGCAGCTGATGGAGGTAAGAATCCTCAGAAAAAGGGTGGGATAAACTGTGTTTTGAATTTATGGCTTTTTACCCCTTTCAGGTTCATCTTAGGGATTAGTTACTTAATTGGAGAGAGCTCCAAGTCAGGCACTTTTCTGTTGGCCCAGTTTAAATTAATATATTGCTTATTCAGCCTGATTTAAGCCTCCACTGATTTCAGCAGAAATTAAATCAGACTTTCAATCACAGACAAAAACTACTGATAATAATCAGCAGCCCCCTTAGACCATTTCTGCTCCCCCTGCAAGTGGATCAAAATATGCTGTATATTCTGTGTATCAGAATATTCAGATGTGCTTGTTCCCCGTTTTCCTSGGTGGGACATGGAGCACCTGCAATTCCTGATGGTGATGGTTTTCCAAACGTGATGGTTTTCCTTTTCCAGACCTACAACTGTCTCTCTGATGGTGAATTCCAGCTCATCAGGCAAACACTCCTCATTTTCTTCCAGGACATGCACATCAGGGTAAGAGCCCAATACAACAAGGCAGGGAGAATGAYAGGGAGTTTGGGGCTGGAATACAAAGGGATCTGTTCATAAACCCTGCAGGTTGGGTTTGTTATTTATGCTTTTCAGTCATCTTGATGTACTTGTAATTGCGCTCAAATTTCACAAATKGAGCACATAATGCTGAATAATTCTCCAATATGATGAGAAAAGGAATCTGTCCTTTGCTGACTGATAACTCTGTTTATCTTTTTTGAAGAAACTTGATATGAAACCTGAGTGTGAAGTCTTGATATTCTCTAAATAATCAYGCTCACATGCACAAATAGGACATAGTTTTCTATATAAATTTTTTAATCAGTGTGCGCATCCTCTCCACCACAACTCCACATTACTGGCATTGTAAACACATCTCTATATACACATCAAAATCTCTAACAAACCACCCCCAGTGTAGGCAGCGAGGCTCAAGCTCAGATTTCAGGGAATTTCAGGTGTGATGTTTGCAATTTTTTTTTTTTTTTGCAGGTCTCCATCTTTCTGAAGGACAAAGTGCAAAACTCAAATGGTCGCTTTGTTCTGCCAATCTCAGGGCCTGTCCCGTGGGGCACTGAGGTTCCAGGGCTCATCAGGTGAGCTGGTGCTGTGTGTGAGGCTGCTCAGGGAGCAGCATTTCATTCCAAAGGGCTCAGGAATCCAACTCAAACTGCCATTCCTATTGCATGGATAGCTAAACCTCCCATAAATACTATTTAAAGGGCAGGATTTGGGACTAAATCACCCACCAAAGAAATGCAGAGCTGCTTCTGGAATTTTCTGTCCTAGTAAATTAKCTATTAGTAATTTATCCTAAAGAAGAGGCATGTACTTCCTATTTATCCTATAAAAAAGGTATGTATGGAATAGAATTTTATTCCCCTTGTGCAGGAAGCAGAGGAAGTAGATACTGAGAATCAGGACTAAAATGGCTAAATATTTCAATAATGTCTTGTTTTTAAGGATATTCAATCACAGAGGAGTGGAAGTTAAAAGGACTGAGTTCAGCACTGCTGGGAACTACGTTCTTCCACAGAGAGAAGGATCTTTTGAGCTTTATGGAGACAGAGTCCTGAAACTTGGAACAAATATGTAAGTAATTCTTGTTCTGTGTAGAAACCTGAACCAAATGCTGATTGTTCAGAAGCACATCTTCACCTGGTTTTGGCCTCTTTTGCTATTAATTATCAGGTTGAGTTTGTTCCAAGATGATGTCCTGCACCAGGAYATGTGTGGACAGTGTATAAAGCACTGTGGAAAACAGCAAAACTTTGATTTATGTCCACAGGGGAGCTCCTTGAAGAAAGAGTGTTCTCACGCTCACATATTATGTGAAGTGTGATTTATTTTAACCACATTCAATAAGTCTTCTCTGTTCTCCATGTTTGCCTTAATGTGCATTTTCTATCCAAAAAGATCTGTGTTCCTTCTCGCAGCTTTGTCCCTCACACACTTTAATGTCCCAGTACTGCACCACGCTGAGCTGTAACTTCTCATTGCAATTGTTYAGCCTTCAGAAAAATATCCTAAAATCCTGGATCCTGTGCTGCTCCCTGTGGTTCCTACTCCTTGTCCCAGTAACAGGCTGCTCTTCCCCGTGTGTTTTCCCCTCTAGGTACAGCGTGACCCGGCCAGTAGAGACACACATGTCAGGATCATCCAAAAAAATGGCATCCCAAGCTAAGGTCAGTGTTGACCTGTTCCTATCACTGCCTAAACAGGCCAAATTCTTAGTYCCTAGGTATGGGATAAGTTCAGGGAAGCTTTTCTGTTGTTCCCAGAGCCTCATCCAATCTCCCAAAGTCTTTTGAAGCCAGGGGAAGGGCACATTTTCCCAAAGAATCCCTTGTGCAAGGATGTGCTTGCATCCATTTTAATCTCCTCAGAAAACAGAAAGCTGGTTTTACAGATTTCTCATCTGTCCAGTTTAGCTGGAAAAGTGTCTTCTGCTGAGTCTATAAATTCAAGCAACCATTTCCAATACTGAGCTGGTGATTACTGGTTTTCTGCACAATCTGTCCCAGGAACACCAGGRAAATGTGTTTATATCCCTCTGAAGGATATGTATGGAATATCAGAAAAGCTTTTTGCAGCCCTCATTTCCCTGRTAATTGCCCAACATTGCTGTTTCCTGCAGGAGAACATAGTCCCCAACCCTCTTGCTAAAGAAGAGCTGAAYTTCCTGGCCAGGCTGCTGGGAGGTTTGGACATCCAGAAACCGGCTGGTGGCGAGACAGGATTTCGGCTGAACTTGTTCATGACCGACGAGGAGGAAGAGTAAGCTGGAGTTCTTCTTGCTTTGGGTTTGGGGAGCCCTGTGGGGAGTCCTGGAGAGCAAAGCTGGCCCTTGACAGCTTTAGGGTCAGACCAGCACGTTGTTATCCTGCTCCAGATGTCTCCTGTTGCTCCAAGCCCCATCCAACCTGGCCCTCTGAGCATCCTCTGAGCATCCTCTGAGCATCCTTTGTGCCCACAGGAGCCTCATGAAGTCTGATTTTTATCATTTCCATTTACACTTCATGGGATTAACCCCTCTTTTCATGTTTTTAATCAAGACACGCTGCACAGACCAGACCAGAGGAGCTGTCCTACAAGGTTATCAACATCGAAGCCACAGAGGTACGTAACATGTTTCAMATTGCTGTTTCTCACCATCCCTGCCTTGCTAAGGACCGTGCTTCACCCAGAGTAATGACTTAAAAATACATTTTTTTCCCATTTCACTTAAGCTCCTAACTAAGTAATGGCCAATTTTCTGTCAAGCCAGTGGAACTGGTGATTATTTATTAAGAAAACTTGAATCCTAACAAATACCAGAGCAAGTTTTTCGCTGAGTTGGGTGCAGAAGGAGCACTCCAGCCCAACCCCAGCCGCGGTACCATCGGCGGCAGCTGAGTGCGGTGTCTGTCCCGCAGGAGCCAGGGCGGCGGGCGGAGCTGTCCCGCATCCTCGGGGAGATGGAGGTGGAGGAACCGCGCCCGGATAGCGCCGAGAAGGGCGAGGACCTGCTGGCGCTGATGGATGGGCTCTGAGCGGGACACGCGGGAACCAGGACTTGGGGGCACCGTGACACGCGGACACCGGGACGCGCGGACACCGGACTTGGGGACATCGTGACTTGGAGACACCGCGACACGAGGTCACCGGGACTTGGAGACACCGCGACACGCGGGCACCGGGATGCGCGGACACCGGACTTGGGGACATCGTGACTTGGAGACACCGCGACACGAGGTCACCGGGACTTGGAGACACCGCGACACGCGGGCACCGGGATACGCGGACTCCAGGACTTGGGGACCCCGGGACACGCGGGCACCAGGACACGTGGACACCGGGACTTGGGGACACCGAGACTTGGGGACACCGCGACACGCGGACACCGGACTTGGGGACATCGCGACTTGGGGACACCGCGACACGCAGGCATCGGGATACGCGGACACCAGGACTTGGGGACCCCGGGACACGCGGGCACCGGGATACGCGGACACCGGGACACGTGGACACTGGGACTTGGGGACATCGCGACTTGGGGACACCGGGATACGCGGACACCGGGACACACAGGAACCGGGACTCGTGGACACCGGGACTTGGGGACGCCGGGCCACGCGGGCACCGGGACCGGGGGACACTGCGACGCGTGGACACCGGGATGTGGGGACACCGGTATTTGGGGACACCGCGACACGCGGACCCCGCGCGCGACTGGGCGGGGTCAGCGCGCGAGGCGGCCACGCC